TTGGAAATGCAAGGAAATGAACTCTGCTATCGACATGAGTGAACTTGTGAGTGTATCCTTCCCTAGCTGAGCCTCCTGATGAGAACCTAGCCCTGACCAATATCTAATGGCAGCCTTACAGAAGACCCACCCAAGCTGTGCTGCACAGAAATCATGAGGTAATAAATATATGTTGATTTAAGTTACTAAATCGTGGTAGTTTACTATGCAGCAATAGATAACTAATATACTCTTGTTGAGAGATATTTGGGTTGTTTCCAGTTTTTCCTGACTATCAACTATGCTAATATAACTGCTCTGATGCACGTCTCCTTGGTGCATACCCACAATTGTTTCTATAGAGCAAATTACTCGAAATGGACTCGTAAGCATAAGGCATTGGGCAAGACAGAGGGTGGCAAACTTTTTCTGGGAAGGACCAGGTAGTAACTGTTTTAAGCTCTGAAGGCCCTGTAGTCTCTGTTGCAACTATTCAATTCTGAAATCGTATTACGAAAGTGCCAAAGACAATCCATGTGAGAATGAGCATGGCTGTGTTTTAGTATTTCATTTGTGAACACTGATACGTGAATTTTGAATAATTTTCACATGCTACAAAATATTGTATTTCTGGTTTGTTTCAACCAATTAAAAATGTAAAAACCATTCTTAGCTTGCAGACTACATAGAAACAGGTAGAGGCCAGATGGGCCCACAGGCCATAGTTTGCAGGTTCTTGGGATTTTCAACTTACCGGATAGGGCAACATCGTTTTCTGAAGTGATGGTCCTGATTTTCCCTCCCATCAGTAGTGTAATGTTTAGGAGTTCTCATGGCTCCACATCCTTGCCCATATTTGTGACATCTATGCAATATTGAGTTTTCCAATCCAAAACACAGATGAGTCTTTGCCTTTATTCATATTTTCTTTTATGTTCTTGGTAGTGTTTTACAGTTTTTTTCATATGAATTTTTCCCTCATACTTTTTTTGAGTTTCTTTTTTTTAAAACATTCTTTTTTAAACGCTGCATTGGGTCTTCATTTCTGCGTGTGAGCGTTCTCTAGTTGTGGCGAGCGGGGGCTACTCTTCACTGCGGTGAGCATGCGTCTCATTGCGGTGGCTTCTCTTGTTGCGGAGCATGGGCTCTAGGCGCGCAGGCTTCAGTAGCTGTGGCTCACAGGCTCAGTAGTTGTGGCTCATGGGCTTAGTTACTCTGCGGCATGTGGGATCTTCCCGGACCAGGGATCAAAACCGTGTCTCCTGTATTGGCAGGCTGATTCTTAACCACTACACAACCAGGGAAGTCCCGGGTTTATTTCTAATTAAATTATTTTCTTGTTGTAATATCTAGTGGGTTCTTTTTTCTCTTGTATTTCAAATTATTTTTTGTACATTAATTATGTAATCCTCCACCTTAGAAGGTTTCTTTATTTTTTCTTTATATTTGGGCAAACGTAGTACAAGTTGTCATTTTAGTGGACACATGATATTCTCAAGAATATTAAAGGCTTGGGACATCCCTGGTGGTCCAGTGGTTAAGAGTCCACCTTCCAATGCAGGGGATGCGGGTTCAATCCCTGGTCTGGAAAGATCCCACATGCTGCGGGGCAACTAAGCCCACACAACTGGAGTTGAGGCCTGCACGCGACAACAGAGAGACTGCATGCCGCAACTAAGACCTGACACAGCCAAAAATAAATTTTAAAAAAAGGACAAAGTCTTAAGACCCTGAAATAGCTTTGCATCGTTTCCTGCCCACTCTTTTAAGTTGCTTTTGAAACATGTATATGTACATATTACATATGTGAGTGTATGTGTGTGTGTGTGTGTGTGTGTGTGTGTGTGTGTAAAGGTGACATGGAGCTAGGGTGGTGAGGATGGATATAGACATAAGCAGGGCCGAAAGTGAGCAGAAAGAAACAAATAGGTGAAAGTGGATCATAGGGAGAGAATTTAATGGAAATGTTTATGCAAAGGTGGTTGTGGAACGTGGGGAGACTAAATAATGTTACTATGTTAATATTAATGATAATAACAATTACGTATTGAGCATCTACGCTGTACACTGTGCTCAGTGTTTGACAGACATCGCTCATTTCACGTCAACCAGCAAGGTTCCTAGTATTATCTCTATTTCACCGCTGACAAACTTGGGGTCCCAAATGGCTAGATAACCTAAGAGCACCAACAAACCAGCAGCAAGCTGGGATTCGAGTCCAGCCGGCGTGCTCCTAAGCCTTTGCTACTTCCATTCTGCCGTGTTGACTTTCCGTGGGTCGGATATCCCGCAAGTAGCAGCATCCACATGAAGAGGCCTGGACCTCTGTGTTCGTGTTTATTGTGATGTTATTATAGCAAACAAAACAGAAACAACCACTTCATTACAGGTAAATGGTTCAATAATCTACGTTACATGTTTACACTTACGGTAGAATATAATACAGTGGTTAAAAAGAATGGGGTAGGGGGAATTCCTTGGCGGTCCAGCGGTTAGGGGTCAGCACTCTCACTGCCAAGGACCAAGCTTTGATCTCTGGTCGGGGAACTAAGATCCCACAAGCCATGCAGAATGGGAAAAAAAAAAAAAAAATGGAGTAGGTTGATAGGTACTGACTATCAACCTAAAAAATCATCACCCCGTACTAGACCCCGTACTAGTAAGTGACGGGAAACATTTACAGAATAATATTATGATTATGCTGCCATGTTATTTTTTAAGATACAGAAAACAAGACTTAATGGAGTCTACAAGTGTATTCCTGTATAAAAATTCATCAAGCTGTACATTTAGAATTTCTGCAACTGACTGTAAGTAAATTAAATCTGAATTTCAAATTAGACTGTGTCTATGTTTTCATGCACATACATATGAAAATACATAGAAACCGGTCTGGAACAATTTACACCCAATTTTTGGCAGTGGTAACTTTGGGGAAAGGAAGATCTCTTCTTTTCCTCTACATACTTCTGTATTGTTTGAATATTTTAAAAAGGTGTCATTGGGTGTCTAATAAATACATAGAAGTACATGTTTTTGTCAATAAAAGAAATAACATAAAATAATTAATCAATTCATAGACAAAATTAACAGACAGCAAATACGCTTTGGAAGAAAAGAAGCTACTGAGAATCCATGTAGAGATAGACCCAACTGCTCCCTTGCAAAGTATTTCACCAATATGTTTTCTCTATTTTTTGCCTCTCTGGAAAGAAGTTGACCCTAAGTCACTTTTCTAAGGAGGTTTTCCTACAACTCTAATCACCAGCGGGCCTGAGGGCTGCATGTGGAGATATGAACACTCAGCCACCCTAAGAGAGATACCTGACCCCGCTCGGGAGCTGGAGCTGACAGGAGACTCAGGACTTGCTTGAAAGAACTGCCTCAGTAACCTTCCCACACTGACGTGGCATGGGTGTGATACAGCTGCTGGGAGTGATCAGGCAGTACACCTGCATGAGTGGTGTGAAGGAATTATGGAATAAGGAATTCATTCTGGGGGGCTTCCCTGGAGGTCCAGTGGTTAAGGCTGTGCCCTTCCAATACAGGAGGTGTGGGTTTGATCCCTGGTTGGGGAACTAAGATGCCACATGCCGTTCGCCACGGCAAAAAAAAAAAAAAAAAAAAAGAGTTCATTGTTGAAATGTGACCTCACACAATTTGTGGAAGGAGCCGGGCAACTGAACATCTGGGAAAGGAAGCTGGAAGGACCAGAGGAGTCCGTAGCCAGTCTGAGAAGCCAAGGATATCCAGCCACTGAAGTAGGACCACAGAAGGCATGCTGATGGAGGAATCTGGAGGGAGTATTTGCCTTTGGGGGTCCACTTGCTGGTGGATCTGGGGCTGCTGTTGGCAACGTAGAGGGAGCGAGGACAAGCTGGACCTGCTAGGCACCTCTGCATCTGGGGTCATCTCATTTTCCATGGCAGCGTTCAGATGTACTGCCCCCAAATTCCTTTCTTGCAAGTCTAACCTGGAACCACACAGGGAAAAGGATTCTGGAAAACATAGTTTCTAGCCTAACCAAGTTAATGGTGGGAGATGATTCTGGAGGAAAGGTGGTGAGTTCCATTTTGGACATGTTAATTTGGGGTTGACTGGAATACGTGCTCGTGGTGATGTCCAGTAAGTAGTCGGGCTTGTCCAATCTTCTTCAATATGCAAACAAGCTGTTCTAAGACTCTAGTTCTAATACAGGCCTGGGGTGAGAAAGTGGAAGGCCGCTGTGGATTAAGAACCTAGGAACTAAAGATATCGACCAGGAATAAAGTTAGCCTCAAGAAATACAGTGCAAAAACCAAAAAGCCTGTACCTTTCAAGCAGTGACTTGGGGTGGCAGGATGGGAGTGGGGATGGCAAGACTCTCCAGGGCAGGTAGGAAGGGGTGCTGGAGAGATGGCTTGAGATACCTTACCCCTGAGTGGGAAGACAACTGTACATTAATTGAGAGTCACTCTTTTCTTTTCTTTTTGCGGTACACGGGCCTCTCACTGTTGTGACCTCTCCCGTCGCGGAGCACAGGCTCCGGACGCGCAGGCTCAGTGGCCATGGCTCACGGGCCCAGCTGCTCCACGGCATGTGGGATCTTCCCGGACCAGGGCACGAACCCGTGTCCCCTGCATCGGCAGGCGGACTCTCAACCACTGCGCCACCAGGGAAGCCCACTCTTTTCATTTTTAAAGTCTTATTATACAGGCATAAGGCAGTCTATTCAATGAATGATCCTTATTTCAGAAATTTCAAAGACAAGTTTGTTACTTAACACAATTTGTGACCTTATTGCTTCACAGTTCTTCAGAATCATAGAGTGAGTTCTGACTGAGGTTCCAGGTGATGTAGTAAACATTCCAAGCAGAGAGGTCCACCAGCAAGTCAGGGGACCCTCCCACCGGCATCACCACCATCACCACTATCACCCACCCCTCCACTCCTACCACTGCCAACACTAGCCAGGTTGGAGGAACAGAGGCTGGGAAAGGTGGTAAAGAGAGGGTAAAGGATGGTGGCAATCCCAAAGGAACATGGAAGTTAATAGCGCTCTCAGGTAACGTTTCTTCATTTGTATTGGATAACAAATGTAGTCAATGAACAATTATATCTGCAGCTTTCTTTTTCCTCCACTTTCTCAGTCATCAAATGAAACTTTGGCTTCCTGTTAGACTATGTACGTGGAGGAGTGGTATATTCCTCCGACTACCTTATACAGAAAGGGCTTCTGTCTCTCTCTCTCTCCTTTTGTTCTGCTATATTTTTCATGATAGTACTTATCTCTGATATTATGTGTTTCCATGTTTCCTTTTTTTTTTATTATTATTATTATTTTTTGCGGTACGCGGGCCTCTCACTGTTGTGGCCTCTCCCGTTGCGGAGCACAGGCTCCGGATGCGCAGGCTCAGCGGCCATGGCTCACGGGCCCAGCCGCTCCGTGGCACGTGGGACCCTCCCAGACTGGGGCATGAACCCGTGTCCCCTGCATCGGCAGGTGGACTCTCAACCACTGCGCCACTAGGGAAGCCCCATGTTTCCTTTATTTACTGTCTGTCTTTCATATCAGAATATAAGTTTCATTACAGAAAATGCCTTTGTTCGCATCTCTATCCCAAGCAAATAAACCAGTACCTGGCAAATTGCAGACATCCAAGTGTTTGTTGAATGAATGAATGAATGAACAAATATATGAAGATGCATTACATTCTAAGAATGGCTCCACGTGAGAGAGTTGTATTATGGCTCTATATAGGAAAATAAAATTCTGATATAACTTTATTTTTATCTGATGACTCTAGGTCTAACTATAGAACTGGTATGCCTTATATATTGTCCCAACAGTTCTACAAGCCTCAGAATAACTGTATCCTTTATATGAATATTACCAAATAATAGCAATTTTAAAATATTTGATATACATTTTGGTCAGAGAGCTGAAAAGCTTTACCCATTTTTTCCACTACTTCTCTGTGTGCCTGTCCACCTCCTCGGCTGGGTCGTCTTCATCCTTCTGCCTGCTAGCTGGTCATCCCTTTGGTTTGGCCTTGGAGCCCTTGCTGCTTTCTCAACTGAGCGTTTTTCTAGGTCAGCTTCTCAAGTGTCATGGTGCCATTCCTAGCCAGATGAAGTTTGGGCCCCTGGTTGAGCCCTGTCATGGGGCTCTGTCCTGGCTTCATCTGACCTGTCTGGTTCTTTGTATGAGCACATGGGTGGGACTACAGACTCCTCCCCTCATAGCTTCAAGGGCAAGACACCAGCCTTATTCGTAAGCTGCACTGTAGCTGCACAGTAGCTGGCCTGTTGTAGGTATTGAAGAAGTGAATGGATGCTGACTAAATACTGAAATATCGATGAGTGAGATTGATAGAACTGGGGGATTTGCTTTAAAATACTCCAGTAAAAATGAGTAAAATGAAATAACGTGGCTGAGGACACAGTGGAAACGAGAGTGAGAAAATGTTGGTAATGGTTGAAGCTGGTGATGGGTATATGGGGCCTCATTATATGTTTCCATTTTTGTGTGATTTTAAAATTTTCCATTAAAAAAAGAAACAAGTTTCTTTTAGATTCTTATGGTGGTTTTCTGCTGCTAAATCCAAATATTTGTACATTTTATAGACAACATTAATAAAATATATTGTTTTAATTAAGATAACTGAGTAAAGAAAAAGTTAAAAATAGAAAAACAAAACAAAAAAAGAAACCAAAATTGGTTGGTGAGGCAAAGCCAGGAAAGCTTGCTACTAGGCTAATAGTTCAATGAGCATTTATGGAGTGGAAATTTGTAAATGAAATTTTACTGTAGGGATGAGTAGCTGTATCCAATAGAGTTGCGCACATCAGGGAATTAAATACACATAAGGAAAGGAGCAGACTAAATATACCCATATCAAATACAATTCATATATGAGTTGAGTTGAAGTTAGCTAATTTTTTAAAATTAAATTGAAGTATAGTTGATTTACAATGTTAAGTTTCTGCTGTACAGCAAAGTAATTCAGTTATACATATGTATACTTTTTTTTTTTTTTGCGGTACGCGGGCCTCTCACTACCGTGGCCTCTCCCGTTGCGGAGCACAGGCTCCGGACGCGCAGGCTCAGCGGCCATGGCCCACGGGCCCAGCCGCTCCGCGGCACGCGGGATCCTCCCGGACCGGGGCACGAACCCGGGTCCCCTGCATCGGCAGGCGGACTCCCAACCACTGCGCCACCAGGGAAGCCCCTGTATACTTTTTTCATATTCTTTTCCATTGTGGTTTATCACAGGATATTGAATATAGTTCCCTGTGCTCTACAGTAGGACCTTGTTGTTTCTCTGTTTTATATATAGTAGTTTGTATCTGTTAATCCCAAACTCCTCATTTATCCCTCCCCCACCTCCTTTTCCCTTTGGTAACCATAAGTTTGTTTTCATTTTTTAAATTTATTTTATTGAAGTATAGTTGATTTACAATGTTGTGTTAATTTCTGCTGTACAGCAGAGTGACTCAGTTATACATACATACACTCTTTTTCATATTCTTTTCCATTATGTTTATCACAGGATACTGAATATAGTTCCCTGTGCTGTACAGTAGGACCTTGTTGTTTATCCATCCTATATATATAATACTAGTTTGCATCTGGAAGTTAGCTGGTTTTAAGATATCACATTTCATAAACATTTAAAGTCACTAACTTTGATTTTTCAGGTTTTAAAATATTTTGTAACCAAAGCATTTTTTTTCAGGTCTCTCATACCTCCACAGGCCCTTTCAAAGATCTCCTGCCGTAGGAATTGCCCATAAAAATGGATACAAATGGCTTCATAGGCTGAGTACTGTTGTAGATGCTTCAGATAGGAAGGAATGTAAGAAAGGGTGTCTGCTTTCTGGAAATTTATCATCCAGCTCCTTTTCTTTCCTCAGGCCATACCTCTTTCCCTTTGCAGCCCTAAAAATTTCTGTCCTTACTATCCATTCTTTTCATCATTCTGCTTGGTTTTGGCATCTCCCTTTCATTTTCTTGAGAACTCTTTAATTAGGACAAAAGCGTTTTTTTTAATTATTATATTTCTTTATATAATATTATATAAATAAAATTATTTTATTATTAGGACAAAATCAAATACAAAAACAATTATGCTTTATATTTGAAATCACATTCCTAGATCTCAAGCATATACCTTCACTTGCCTAGATAAAATATTGTGCTGATTTATCTGAGTATTTGTTCTTAGAAGTCTAGCTGACTTTCTGGAGATTTTGCTGAATTTCATTTGGGCCTACACAGGCCAATCACCAATTCCTTAAGTACTTACTATGTGTTTTGGGGGGGAATCACAGAAAGAGGAATAAAAATATTCTAGGCCAATATAAAATCTCAGGATCCAAGACAAATTGCAAAGATAGGGGCCTGCTTGAAGAGATTTTCAGTGCATCATTCCAGGCATGTAAATATCTTTTATCCTGTTTGCAGAGTGTTTTGGAAATCAAGGCAATTGTACACAAGAAAACTGACATATGATTCAGATGAGGGAGTCCCACTTACCTGGAGAAGAAAGCATTTTAAAAGGAAAAAGAAGAGACCATCACGAAGTGCAGGTCTACAATGAGATGATAACATTTCCCTGTTCCATATGCAAGCATGAAATGGACCTACCTGGAATATTCCTCCATAAAAAGCAGCATGTAGCTCTGGCTACATTGGGCTTTCAGTGGATGGGTGGGAAGAAACCAGGGCTCTCAGCGATTGCTGATCAGAGGCAGTCCATCATTGCTAAACTATTGTCATCTTTTGCATTTACTGAAAAAATCTTACAGAGCATTAATAATGCTTTTGAGCTCCTTTGCAAGAAACAAATACCAGCATACTATAAGATTATTGATAACATTCCCAAGAGTTCAATATATCCTCAAAAAATCTGTCACCTATTAATTAAAGGAGCAGCCATTTGCGAAGACAGGAATTCTACATGGAGAGCTGACATGAATGATAAATTCACTGTCGTGAATAATTTTGGCAACAAACCCAATGTGTGTTTTTTTGGTTTGTTTGACGGACATCACGGTGCCTCGGCAGCAGACTTGACATCAGTGGAACTCCCAGTTTTACTTCTCCACCAACTTTCCAGACTTGATCCTTCCTACCAAATGACCCCTGAAGAGCAAAAAGTAATCAATTCTTTTCACACAGTGTTTAGAGAAGACTACAGAGCTATAGAAGACACCTTCTCCTCCATAAAGAAAAAGGCAAAAGCATTGAAAAGTGAGTATGAGAACATACACAAAGCCTTTGCAAAAGCATTTTGGAGAATGGACAGGCTTTTACGTCTTGGAAGGAAAGAAGTGTCCAGGGCTCGATGGAGCGGCTGTTCTGCAGTTACTTGCATATTGGAAGGCAACATTAAAAGTTCCAAAGCTAAGAAGTCTTCGAGAAGATTCAATGACCTTGACGCTTCTTTGGGGATGCCGAAAATAATCTCTGGAGTGCTACATATTGCAAACACTGGTATGTATATTGAATGGTACCAGGTTACACCTTAACATGTTTTATTCCTGGCAGCAAAACCTCTCTTGCTTCCAGAATTATCTAGTGACCTATTATTTAATGACTTACTAGTGCCTAGATATTTCACTGACCAATTTAAGAAACAACCAATAACCACAGTTTAAATGTAGATTTGCAGGCACAAAATGAATTGTAATTATGTCTCAAGGAGGCACGTACATGAAATAATGTGACCAAAACATGACGTTTTCTAAATGGGGTAGCAACACAGCTATTGATAAAGGCAAAGCAAATCTATTACATTTGCTCAGATCGGAATGAAACCAAAACATTTCCCACACTTCCCTTTTTCGGGAGAATGGAAAGTTCTTTGAGTGTTGTTAGTATAGCTGCTAAACTGGTCAGTTTTTCTGGTAACTAACATATTTGCAACAGGTCACTCTTGTGCTCACTGGCCAAGTTGCATCGATTTCATCTTAGGAAAAACAATCGTTCGTGATTCAGTTTTATAGGCGTGTATTTCCTTCTCCAAAAATTTTGGCTGGATTCTTTTAATTTTATTTCAAGAAGCAATTCTTTTGACATGCTGTGCTAAAGTTCTAGCTAAGGAGCTTGCCAAAATCGAAAGCCCAGAGGTAAAACAGTTTTAGCCAAGTTAACCCGAGTTCCATGCTCATTTCCATGAGATGCTTAACTAGGGTTCCACCACCCCTTTCCTCGGTAGAATTATTATTAATGACAGTGTCCACTTACTGAATATTGCACACAGAGTAATTTCTCATGTAGTCTTCCAAGAACTCTGATATCTAAAGATATCTAAGTATTGTTTTAAAAAATATATATTCGACATGTAACACTGTGTAAGAAGCAAAACATGTTAATTTGATACATTTTTATATTGTAACATGATTGCCATTGTAGCGATAATTACCACTTCTATCACATTACATAATCATCATTTCTTTATAGCGGTTGAAAAAATTAAGTTCTAGTCTCTTAGCAAGTTTGATGATTAAAATATATACGTTCTCTCTGTTCCCAATATTGTGCATTAGACCTCTAAGACGTATTTACTGCTCATTGCAAGTTTGGACCCTTAAACCACATCTGTTCTCCTTCCCAACCCCTGCCGCCATTTCTAAGTGGTGTTGACCCAATTGTCCAGATGAGAAAATAGAAGCTCGGAGAGGTGAAATTATTTGTTCAAGGTGTCAGAGGTAATAGAAATTGGAGCTGGAAATCAAACTGCCTCTGAAGGGGGTTGCTTCCAAATTCTGAGGGGTCTGGGCCTTAGGGAGTGGGACTTTGGCCCACACCAGGGCCAGATATACTCACCAAGACCATTACAATGTCAAGGTCCCTGGAAGCCGGCCTGTTTCTGATCTAACTCTGGTTGTAAGCCCAAAATGAGGACACCAGATTAAGCAATACCATGGAGCCAAGTGCAATGCCAATTCCCTTGGAGCATTTGCCATTTCTCAGGCCCTACCCTGAGGTTCCAAAGTGCTTCAGAGCAGGCCTACTTCATGGATGGAGAGTTTTCAGATTTCAAACTAATCTGGGAACTGACCCATATCCTTGGACTTTGGACCTCTATTAGAAAATATCATTTGATATCATGGTTCCTGGGAAATTAAAGGAAAATATACGAGATACTCAATAAGTAGATACTATCATCAAATATTCACTTTACTATGATTCATTACTTCCAAGCCCACTGTTGTTTGGCAGGTTCCAATTTCCAGGTCAAACATTTTTTTGGATCTAATTTACAGGCTTACATACATAACTGTGTTAAAATGTTTTCATTTGGGCATCCTTCATTCTAATAGAAACAAATAAGTAGGGGGAAAAAATCCAACTTGTGAAAGGGAGGTCATGATTTATGATACAAAAGTGCTCCTAAAAGAAAGTAATTTAAATGAGTTACAAAAAATAAATGTTCACACAAATTTATCAAGGGCATGTTTTGTATTTTATAAAACAAGACCTACAAAGACAGCAAGGGAATTCATTTTTCTTGTTTAAAATTTGTCAAATACCAGTATCATCACAACTCTGGAATTAAAACCAAGAAAAACCTCCACCTCACTTTATAATGAAACATTAGTGTGGTGATACAGTCATTGAATAAGTGTTGAATTTGTGCATGTGGAAAAAGGTCCTTCCAGACAGACATTCCTGACTTTTTGTTCTTAGTACTTCTCATTTATATTGCATTTTATCACTTCTCCTGGTGCTCTCTTATTTTACTTCACTTAATCCTCACAGGATTAAAACTCAAACATATTGATACAGCATACATAATTACACTTTTTTCACAACATCAAATAAACCACAAATTTTTACATTTCTAATTAACCACACTAGTTCCTTATAAACATATGGGATTCTTATTTGATCCCTTAAATTCTTTTCCCCAGTGATTTTATATTTAATAGCTTTATTGAGATACAACTCACAAAGCACACAGTTCATCCAGGTAAAGTCTACAGCTCAATGATTTTTAGTATATTCACTGATACAGCCTTTTCTCCCCATCTTTTTATCTTTGAATCAAGTGTCTTCTTAGAGAACATATAGTTGGATCTTGTTTGTATTCATTTACTGTGGTTGTTGTTACAAATTTACCATAGATTTGGTGGCTCACACAACAGAAATTTATTCTCTTACAGTTCAAGAAGTTCTAAACCAGCATAACTGGCCCAATGTCTTCATGTCAGTGCTCCCTCCAGAGGATGTGGGAAAGAATTTGTTCCCTGCTCCTTCCACCTTCTGCTTGGCTGCCAGTATTCCTTGGGTTGTGGCCACATCACTCTGATCTCAAATGTGCCTCCATGTGCACATTTCCTTCTTCTGTGTCTGTAGCCAAATCTCCCTCTTGTGGTTGAATTTAGAACCCACCCAGACAATCCAGTGTTAAGCATCTCAGGATCATTAATCACATCTTCAAAGTCTTTGCCATATAAGGTAACATTTACAGGCTCCAGAGATTAGGTTCTGATATCTTTGGGGATTTTATTCAGCCAGCCACCATGTTTGTTTGTTTGTTTTTCCATTCTGCCAAACGTTGCCTTTTGATTCAAGTATTTAATTTATTTACATTTAAGGTAATTAATTATAGGGTAGGATATATGTCTGACATTTTGCTGTTTGTTTCCTATATATACATCTTTTGTTTTTCTATTCCTCTGTTACTGCTTTCTTTTTTTTCAACTAAGATTAGTCATCCTTTTTTTTAAATTTTAATTTTATTTATTTTTTTATACAGCAGGTTCTTATTAGTCATCCATTTTATACACATCAGTGTATACATGTCAATCCCAAGCTCCGAATTCATCACACCAACCCCCCCACCCCCCGCCGCTTTCCCCCCTTGGTGTCCATATGTTTGTTCTCTACATCTGTGTCTCAATTTCTGTCCTGCAAACCAGTTCACCTGTACCATTTTTCTAGGTTCCACATAATGCGTTAATATATGATATTTGTTTTTCTCTTTCTGACTTACTTCACTCTGTATGACAGTCTCTAGATCCATCCATGTCTCAACAAATAACTCAGTTTCGTTCCTTTTTATGGCTGAGTAATGTTCCATTGTATATATGTACCACATCTTCTTTATCCATTCATCTGTCGATGGGCATTTAGGTTAGTTCCATGACCTGGCTATTGTAAATAGTGCTGCAATGAACACTGGGGTGCATGTGTCTTTTTCAATTATGGTTTCTCTTTTTGAATTATGGTTTCTCTTTTTGAATTATGGTTTTCTCTGGGTATATGCCCAGTAGTGAGATTGCTGGATCATATGGTAATTCTATTTTTAGTTTTTTAAGGAACCTCCATACTGTTCTCCATAGTGGCTGTATCAATTTACATTCCCACCAACAGTGCAAGAGGGTCCCCTTTTCTCCACACCCTCTCCAGCATTTGTTGTTTGTAGATTTTCTGATGATGCCCATTCTAATTGGTGTGAGGTGATACCTCATTGTAGTTTTGATTTGCATTTCTCTAATAATTAATGATGTTGAGCAGCTTTTCATGTGCTTCTTGGCCATCTGTATGTCTTCTTTGGAGAAATGTCTATTTAGGTCTTCTGCCCATTTTTGGATTGGGTCGTTTGTTTCTTTAATTTTGAGCTGCCTGAGCTGTTTGTATATTTTGGAGATTAATCCTTTGTCCAATGATTTATTGGCAAATATTTTCTCCCATTCTGAGGGTTGTCTTTTCGTCTTCTTTATGGTTTCCTTTGCTGTGCAAAAGCTTTGAGGTTTCATTAGGTCCCATATGTTTATTTTTGTTTTTATTTCCATTACTCTAGGAGGTGGATCAAAAACGATCTTACTGTGATTTATGTCAAAGATTGTTCTTCCTATGTTTTCCTCTTAGAGTTTTATAGTGTCTGGTCTTATGTTTAGGTCTCTAATCCATTTTGAATTTATTTTTGTGTATGGTGTTAGGGAGTGTTCTAATTTCATTCTTTTACATGTAGCTGTCCAGTTTTCCCAGCACCACTTATTGAAGAGACTGTCTTTTCTCCATTGTATATCCTTGCCTCCTTTGTCATAGATTAGTTGACCATAGGTGTGTGGGTTTATCTCTGGGCATTCTATCTTGTTCCATTGACCTATGTTTCTGTTTTTGTGCCAGTACAATGTTGTCTTGATTACTGTAGCTTTGTAGTATTGTCTGAAGTTAGGGAGTCTGGTTCCTCCAGCTCCGTTTTTTTTTCCCTCAAGACTGCTTTGGCTATTCGGGGTCTTTTGTGTCTCCATACAAATTTTAAGATATTTTGTTCTAGTTCCATAAAAATTACCATTGGCAATTTGATAGGGATCACATTGAATCTGTAGATTGCTTTGGATAGTATAGTCATTTTCACAATATTGATTCTTCCAATCCAAGAACATGGTATATCTCTCCATCTCTTGGTATCATCTTTAGTTACTTTCATCAGTGTCTTATAGTTTTCTGCATACAGGTCTTTTGTCTCCCTAGGTAGG